TTACTGAGTCTTGTTCTTCCTCCTCCTCCTCTTCCTCTCATACAGACCCAAGTTTGGAATAAAGAAAGCTGCTTCTCTGAGAACACTTACCAGGGCTCATCTTGGTCCATGGCTAAAAGACAGTCAGAAACAAATAACTGTGAACACTTTCTTGGGAATTCTACTCAAGTATGGGGCCAAAGTCTATGTCGTTGTCTAGGTTGGAACATGAGATTCATTTATGAATTTATTTCTGCTGCAGAAATCTCAGTGCTTCTAGGATTTGGATGGCATTCTGGGGTGCAGTCTATGGAGGGAAAGGGGACGAGGAAGAGGCAACACCAAAATGCATTACAATTTAGGCTGTGGTTCAGACAGTGTGTTAGGCTCCCCGGAGCCCTAGTCCCTTGAAACCCTTGATGGAGGCAGAGATAAACCAGACCACAGAAAGAACCTGGGATAGACCTGATGGGCTCCAGAATTGCCTTCCAGAGGCTGGCTGGGGTCTGAGTTCCTCTGACAGAGCAGAGAATCGGACTGTTTAGCCTGCAGTCCCCACCCCTTCTTTAGCAGCCCCCTTGATGTTCAGGCTCGTCTCAGAGCTTATTTGCTGTCACTGCTTCCAGGAACACTCCCCACTGTACTGAGCCGTTGGGACAGATGCCAGTTGCCATGCCCTCTACCCGACCAAGAAGTGAGGAGGATTTGGGTCACATGGCTTTACTGTCCTGTACTTCATACTGCAGAGGCTAAAGCTTCAGGGTCGTGAAAAAGAACCCACCTCACCAGCTCAGGGTTTCCCTGATGGCTCAGTAGTAAAGAATCTGCCTGCAATGCAGGAGTTGTGCATTCGATCCGTGGATCAGGAAGATCCCCTGGAGGAGGAAATGGCAACCCACACCAGTATTCTTGCCTGGAGAATCCTATGGGCAGAGGAGGCTGGTGGGCTACAGTCCATGGGGTTGCAAAAGAGCTGGACACGACTTAGCATTAAACAGCACTCCCACCTAAGAGCTGCCTGGGAGCCAGAGAGGGAAATTCCCCAGTTTCCTATAGGAGTGAATCAGGGCGCCTATGCGCCTATGCTGAAACGTACATCCCACTGCCTGAAACTCAGACTCACGGGTGACTCAGCAGTGCCTCACCTGAGGGGGGACAGAGGGCAAAAGGCTGGGAACACTGCAGGTTCAAGCCACGTGGGGAATGTTTGAATCCCGAGAGTGCTCTTTTGAGATCATAGAGCAGATTCCTCTAGAGCCCTCACAGTTCAGTTCAGTCACTCAAGTCGTGTCTCTTTGCAACCCCACGGATTGCAGCACGCCAGGCTTCCCTGTCCATCACCAACTCCCAGACTTTACTCAAACTCATGTCCACTGAGTCGGTGATACCATCCAACCATCTCCTCCCTCTGTTGTCCCCTTCTCCTCCTGCCTTCAATCTTTCCCAGCATCAGGGGCTTTTCAAATGAGTCAGCTCTTCGCATCAGGTGACCAAAGCATTGGCATTTCAGCTTCAAAGTGCCGTCACAGGGACTCACAAGATGTTCTGATTCCTCAGACCAAGCAGATAAGGCATGTCTCAAGCAAAAGAGACCTCAGGGTGGCCTCTTGCCAGCTCTCACTTGAAGAGCCAGAAGTTCCTCCTGATCTCTTCCTTGATTCTTCCTGTTTCATCCCCTCTCGTTGGTTCTTCAGTACGGGGACACAAGAGTTGGAACTGTGCTTTGTTCGCCATGGTACCAACAGTGTCTCGATGCATGGGTAACTTAAAACAAGATTTAGCAACCAGCGCAGCACAGTCAGAATGGCCTCTGGCTGGGGTGCTCAACAGGATCCAGGAGGAAGGAGCTCTGGGCTTGAGTTCTAGTCTTGGCTCTGTGGCTAATTTACTGTGTGACCTCAAGCAAACCACTTGACCTCTCAGGGCCTCAGTTTTATCACCTTTAAAAAAGGGATATCTGGACTACAGATTGCAAAGTCATATGCCAACAGGATCAGGCAATTAAAGTAAAGGAGTGAATCCAGTAGGGCAGGGTTGTCCTGACTGTTACATTTGGACTCCCTCTAAATGCGCAGCTGTTGCCTGATGGAGCTGCCGACCAAGCTGTCCCAGGCGTTCAACTCTTCAAGAGATGCTAAGGATCTGGATGTTTCGTGAAATCTCCTGATGTTAAAACAATTCTGTGGGTCAAACAACATCTCTAATTCCCCCCGAGACTAGAGGATTTGAAGGGCCCTCCCAACTCAGATTTTCTGCTTCTAGAATATACGTCTTCCAGGGAATTCCCTGGTGGTCCAGTGGTTAGGACTCGAAGCTGTCACTACTGTGTCCTCAGATGTTCAATCCCTGGTCAGGGAACAAGACCCTGCAGGCCACGCAAAGGAGCCAGAAAAAAGAAAAAAAAGAAAGTGTCTTCTGGAGAAGATCACTAAGAAATCACCTTAGTTATGGTAATTTCAGCTACTGCAAAAGTGAGTGTCTGTGTGTGGGCTCATGCTTTCAGCTTTTGGTTCCCCTCAAATGACACTCTTCTGGTGGTCTTCCCCCGCAGCCCGCTTAACACACTGGCAGGGGACTGTTTGTTTGGTCTCAGGGCCCAGCACTGGGCCAGATGGAAGACACAGCTTGTCCTGTGAGCTCACCAGCGGTAATAGGCTGGCTGTGCTGAAGACATAGCCCTCCCCTTTCCCTGCATGAAGGCAAGAGTGGCCACAAGCAGTGGCTGATTCAGGCTCTGGACCTTGCTGCCTTTCCAGGCCTTTGCTGGCCGTGTCCCTAGGCTGAACTGGGACTAGGAATCCAGTCGGCAATATTACCAATCTGGAGCTCTCCAACCTAGCCATATTAGCTTGCTAGTTTCCAAATTAGTTTGCATTTGGAACAATGGAGCACAGACTGGGAGGCTTAAACCACAGAAATATATTGTCTCACAATTCTGGAGGCCAGAAGTTCAAAATCGGGGTCTCAGCAAGGTCGGTTCCTTCTGAGGCCTTCGAGGGAGGGAAGGGTCTGTCCCAGGTTTCTCTCCTTGGCTCGCAGATGGAGGTCTCCTCGATGTGTCTCTTCACATCCTCCTCCCTCAGTGTCTATTCATCTCTACGTCCAAATTTCCCTTTTGTATAAGGACACCAATCACATCTGATTAGGGCCCATTCTAATGACTGCATTTTAACTTGCTTAACTCTGTGAAGAACCTATCTCCAAGTCAGAGCACATTCAGAGACACGAGGGGTTGTAGGATCTCAGCATCTAGATTTAGGGGACACAGTTCAGTCCATAACATTACTTCACCATGGTCTCTCACTCACTGCTTTAAACTCCAAAACCTAAGCACCCTGCTTGTGCCCCTTCTTACTGGGGACAGCCCAGCGCTGCAGCATCCCACGCGCTGGCACTCAGCTCACTGTACGCACTCACTCTCTATGGACCGAGGTTCTCTGCAGTGGGAAAGGTGACGGGACGTTCACCAGGCACCCATTAGGGGACATACAGGCCTTGAATATCAGGCAACAGTATGAGATGTCTGCTGGTGGTCCAGTGGTTAAGAATCCACCTGCCCATGCAGGGAACTCAGCTTTGATCCCTGGCCTGGGGAGATCCCACATGCAATGGAGTAACTAAGCCCGGATGCCAACGCTACTGAGCCCATAGACCGCAATTACTGAAGCCCGCGCTCCAGGGCCTGTGCCCTGCAACGAGAAGGCACCACAGTGAGGAGTCCACACGCTGAATGATGAGCAGCCCCTGCTCGCAACTAGAGAAAGCCCACGTGCAGCGAAGAAGACCCAGAGCTGCCCCTGGATAAAAGAAACAACTTATGATGAATGAACCATTTATAGTAGCTTATAATAATCATTCATAATAAATAAATGAAAATAGGTATTTTAAAATGGATAAATAAAAATCAATAGTAGGAGAGGTCTGTTTATTCTGTGAGGCACTGCCTTTATGGTACTTTTTATCTTCACATCAATAAAAATGGTATTCCCAACTGCAGTTGGGAAGTGCCAAATATCATTCCAAGCACTTTATATGAAGTAATTTTTTGAATACTCACAATACCCTTTTGAAGTAGATATGATTATTTACGTCCTTCTACAGATGGGCTTCCCTGGTGGCTCAGCTGGTAAAGAATCCGCCTGCAACGTGGGAAACCTGGGGTTTGATCCCTGGGTTGGGAAGATCCCCTGCAGAAGGGAAAGGCTACCTACTCCAGTTTTCTGGCCTGGGTTGCAAAGAGTAGGAAACAACTCAGTGACTTTCACGTTCAGTTTTCACAGATAAGACACTGAGGCAGGGCAGCTTAGGAAAACTTGCCCAAGTGTATAGTAACTGATGGAGTTGGATTTGAATCCCAATAGTTGGCTGCAAAGGCCATGCTTTTAATCATTACCAGATAGTATTTGGAAAAGGCAGGAGTATTATTCTCATTGAATAGACGAGAAAATCAAAACCAAGCAGCTAAGGAACTCATTCACGGTCACAGGGGTGAAGGGCAGGGTAAAAGCAGAATTCCTGCCCTGAAGCCACAGGGCTTTCCTCAGAAGGGACCAGTGTCCTGGGTCCCTTACCCACACCCTACTCCACTTACACAGACCCACGCGTAATAGGGCCAGCCCAGAATCTCTAAACCCTTATTTGTGGTTAACCGTCTCCATGCATGCATGCTCAGGCGCTTCAGTTGTGTCCGACTCTTTGTGACCCTGTGGACTTGTAGCTATGGTTTTTCCAGAGTCATGTATGGATGTGAGAGTTGGACTATAAACAAAGCTGTGTGCTGAAGAATTGATGCTTTAGAACTGTGGTGTTGGAGAAGACTCTTGAGAGTCCCTTGGACAGCAAGGAGATCCAACCAGTCCATCCTAAAGGAAGTCAGTTCTGAATATTCATTGGAAGGACTTATGCTGAAGCTGAAACTCCAATACTTCAGCCANGGCGGAGGTGGGGGCCGCGGCGTCCCCGGGCGAGGCGCTGACGTGAGCCTGGCGCACCTGGGCCAGGCAGGTGAGGGCCGGCGCGGGGCGGGGAGCGGAGCCCTCAGTCCCTACCAGCGCACAGCTAGGCGTTGCTCGCCCTACGGGTCGAGGAGCGCGGTGGCGGCGGGTGATCGTACCTGGGGACTTGGTTCGGAGGGACGTTGGCTTCTGGCAGCCGGATTAAAGACAGGTGGGAACGCCAAAGTCCGGAGACTGGCTTGGGGAAGGGAGGACACGCCCGCTGGTGAAGGGTCCCTTCCGGAGCCTGCAGGGGTGAGGAGAGCTTGCTTAGGGACGTCTGTGCGTCCGGCGATGTCCTCTAGGGCTGGGTGTCCGTCCCTGTGACCCAGGTGGCTACTGGATGGTCAGCCCCAGCTTGGGATCGCCGGACCCTTCCCGACCCCTTGCTTCGGTCCACTTCCTTTCCCTCCCCGCCCAGCGGGAGTGCGCGGCTCCCAGCCTCCACCCGCCCACCGTCGGGGCGCGCTGAGGCGCCTCCACCCCTCTGGTCCTACCGGCTCGCCACTCCGCCGGCCCTAGCTTCCCAAAGAGGGGATTTCCCAGGACGGACGGCTGGCCCTTGATCTTGGTGGGTGTTTTGAGAAACTGCGGGTCGGGGCGACCAGTAGCTTCGGCCAGTTTGTTTCCTCTCCTGGAATTTGTTCAGCACCGCCAGACCCCTCTCCCTGGGCCTGGGAGACACCCGTGGATTTCCAAGTAGCCAAACGAGGTGCTGGGGAGGGTGGCGCCGGGTGTGGTTGCTCTGGGGGTGAGGCTCTCTTCGCCTGAAGGGGCTGGAGGGCGGGTGTGGAGAAGTGGGGAAAGTCGTCCGGGCCGGGCTGGAAAGCAGGCCCGGGGTGCCTGTGTTCACAGGGAGCCTGCTGTGTGGTAAAGGGCTCATCCCGACGCCACCCTGCTGTCTTGGTCGCTGTCAAAAGTGGAAGCCAGGAAGGGAGAGGAAGAAGGGGCGTGTGAGCAGGGGTTGGGGAAAGCGGGGTGCCGACCCAGGACAGTTCTTTAGGCTTAGATGTTTGTATAACGCTTGACACCAGCACCCCATACAGGGTCGCTAGCTCTCTCCAGCTCCCAACTTCAACCAAGCAGAGGGAGAAGGGCAAGGAGTTATGGCTAGAGGCTCAGAATTTACCCCTAAACGGGGCTGAACTAAATAGAGGAAAGACCGGGGAACTTGGAAGATGGCATTTCAGGTCCCTCCAAGAGGAGGGAGAAAAAAAGCAGGACCATCCCTTGAGGCCTGTCTGCAAGAAATGAGGGTGTGTGTGTTTTCCTCTGAGCAAAATCACTGACGGTTGAATCTCGGCTTCGGGGTGGCCGTGTTCTTGGGCAGGGGCTGCAGAGAAGGCAGTGTGGGTGTTTCTAGGGGACCTGTTTCCTGGATTGGGGGTGTGAGAGAGGATAGTTCATGCCTTGGGGAGGTTGAAAGCATCTGTGCTCAGTGCCCAGTGTGAGGGGAGTGATTGGGTTAGCATCTTTGTTCTGTGGCTGGTTGAATACCTGTTGGAGACTCAGGCCTTGAATTTTGCTATAATGGCAGCTAGAGATAGCCAGAGCTGAATTCAACTAGGCTAGGGTTGTTCTGTGGGCCTTGGGATTTGGGTGGCAAGAGAGTTTTGAAAGAAATCTTTGGTTTAGGTGTGTTTGAGGGTGGGTGTTGTGCAGTCTCCCCCCCAAGCGCCTTGTTGGCCCTCTGTGCTGCTTGGATCTTTGTTGATGTGTTTGGTTTTTGCTCTTGGTGTACAGAAGAAGGGAGAGACTTGGAGGGCTGGGTGCAGTGGCAGGTTATGGTAGAGCACACTGACTCAGAAGTTTTGGGTCCAGGCCCCAGTTAAAACACGTTGCTGTGCCTCAGTTAACCCAGCTGTAAAATGGGGATGATAATAATACTTTTAGATCATGAGGATGAAGTCAGACACGTTAAGTAAACATGTATGTGAAAACTATAAAGCCTTTGTAGATATAGAGGATTGTTGTTACCATGGTTTCTGTTAGCTGAAGGCCATCATCTTTTTTACCTCCCAATGGCCAAGAATGCCTTAGCTTCCTGTGGTTTAAAAAAAAAAAAATTACTTGTAGTGTTCTGTTTTTAAACTATAAATCAAAACATGCCATTGTAGGAAAATGTGAATCGTATAAAAGTATGTAGGGAAGCATGAAAGTCATCCACAATCCTACCATCACTAAGGTAACTACTTGGGTAATGACTAAGAATTCCTTGTTGCATCGATATCTTATTTCTACCCCTTTTAAAAATTCTATGCACATACATACACAAGTGCATGTTATGTTATAAGATGGAGGAGATACTATCCAGTCAATATTGTACGATGCCTTTTCCCTCTTAAGTACATATATAAACATTTTCCCAAATCCAATAAAAATTCTTCAGATGCCTTGATGTTCATAGCTGCTTGATACGGCAGCCTATGAATGTCTGATGAGCTGTTTTTCCCTGTTATTTTGGTTGCCTCCCAATTTTCCCTCTCTGCCTGTTTTTGTAGTCTTAGTTACTGGGTGGCAGGTGGAGATGCTGGTTGGCTTGGAGAAGATGGGGAGGGTTAGCTGTGATGGAGGTGGGGCAGGGAGGAGGAGGCAGGGTAGGGTTGCCCCTGCGTGCTGCCATCTTGGGAGAATGCTGAGAACACGGCTCTAGATCTCAATCACTGATCTCCATGGGTGGATACTTCTCCCTCCACATAACTCTGTGTGCAGTTCCTTGTGTTGGCTTGGTTGCCTTAATTTTTTTCTTGATGTGCCATGGATCAATTAGGAGGAACCCTCTTCTTTAAAGCCCGCAATCCTTCAAGAGGTGGATTTCACATGTCTGCCAGTCCTAGACACAGGACTGACCATATTGCAATAAGTGTGTTAGTCGCTCAGTTGTGTCCGACTCTTTGCGACCCCACGGACTCTAGCCCGCCAGGCTCCTCTGCCCATAGGATCTCCCAGGCAAGAATACAGGAGTGGGGTGCCATTCCCTTCTCCAGCGGATCTTCCTGACCCAGGGATCGAACCCGGGTCTCCCATGTTGCATGCAGATTCTTCACCTCCTGAACCACCAGGGAACAGTATAGGATGGCTGACCGTATTGCAGTAGATCTTCTCAAAAGCCCCTCACTAGGTGGACCCGTTTGCCACCCATTTCCAGTTCTCTTGGTTCTTCCTTCGCCCCATCCCCCCCCATTACCACAGGCCAGGACTGAGGAAGGGAAGGCTAGAACTTGCCCTGCGGAGGATATGCATTACCTCCTTATAAGGTAAATGTTCTCCCAGGTTTGATAGCTTGATTTGCTGCCTTACGGAGCAACCTACACCAAGGCCAAGAACTTGGGGGAAGAGGGCACTTGAACACCCCATGCCACCTTGCCTGCCCTAGGGGAGCTCTGCTCCCTAGGGGGGCAGGTTTCAGTTTCACAGCTTGGTAACTGGGTCAGAAGGCTCAGGTGAGGGCAGGTCCTGCTTTGCTCTTAAAGTGCCGGTGACCCAGCTGGGTTTGAGTTTTCCCGTTTGTTGTCAGGCTGGCTCAGGAAAGAAGTGACGCGTTAGGGGCCACCCCCTCAGCTAAGCTCCTCCGAGGGGGAGACTTAAGCTGACTCAACTGGTTTGATTTCTGAACCGCAACCCTGGTGGGAATCTTCCTGGGTGGGAAGGTGACTTATTTATCTTCCTTTTCTCAGGTTCTTGTGGGGTTTGAGCAATTCCAGCATGTATTTCTTCAGGCAGTCTGATGAAAACATTGTTTAGTAACTGACCTCGCGCTTGTCACACAGTAGCTGACGAACAAATATTTGTTGAATGAACGTTGTTTTGCAGGCATCTCTTTCTCACCTGAAAGTAAAAACAAAGTGAGATAAGAACATAAACAACAACAAAAAAAAGACTCTAAATGCATCATCCCAGGCAAGCAATTCTCCAAGGATTTGCTCTTTCCTTTAGACACCCAGTTGGGACCCGCCTTTGTTTCCCCGCTGGCACCAAATGTTATCTGCTAGGCTGTGCTGAGCCCTTCTGTTTTTATGAGAATCAATTGCAGACTTTACCCAGGCTGGCTCCTGTAGCCAGTGAGTTCCACTCAGCCTCTGTGGGGGAGATAAACAGACCCAGGTGAGGAGACTGTCCGAACAGTAGGGAGCGTGTCTCATGACTGTTTTTAGGACTCTAGGGTTAGGTACTGTGATATTTGATTATTTCAGGGCTTCTGAGCTTTACCAGACTCAGTTACAGAGCACTGGATTGTTCTAGGAATAACCAGCTCAGACTCCCCTTCCCTTTTTTTTGCCCCCCTGTACAGAACCTTTGGGTGGCCCAGAGAAAGGAAAGCTGACTTGAGGCCCAGCTCTCAGATTTCTGTGGAGACACTGCCTGCTCATCGATGTAAGTGAGGGCTTTGCCACCAGCACCCACCCCTTTGCCTACTTCTTGCTCATCACGATGCTGTCACTCCATAGTTGCCTAAAAAAGAGAGCGCACGCTTCAAGTTCTTGTCTGTCCTTTGCTGTTTCCATAACTTTTTTCTTCCCTCTCCTGAGATGAGATTGAAAAGGGCAATTTGCCTTCTGTTCCCTTGGTACTGTGTTCCAGCAGGGATGACATCATCTTTTTATTTTTCTGCCTCAGGATTTAAATAGAAGAAATGTGATCTACTTACATGATAAGTCTGATTTGGCTGGAGCATGAAAAATAAATGGCTTTGGAATAAGAATCAAAAGAACCTTTTAACCTCTTTTCTTTTCTTCCCCACCTGGCACAGTTTATTCCCATATTTAGTTTCTTTGCTGTAATCTAATGAAACTGTAGTTCTGTCATACGGGAACAGTGGCTGGGAACTTTTCCCAGGGGCTGGCCTAATTCTCCTCTCCCCGCTTCTCCCCCCTCCCCCCAACCCAGATCATGGCCCTCCACCCCCGCAGAGTTCGGCTGAAGCCCTGGCTGGTGGCCCAAGTGGATAGTGGCCTGTACCCGGGGCTCATCTGGCTACACAGGGACTCCAAACGCTTCCAGATCCCCTGGAAACATGCCACTCGGCACAGCCCCCAGCAAGAGGAGGAGAACACCATTTTCAAGGTAAAGGTCTTCTTTTACCGTCTCACTCGAGACGCTTCCCAGCTCTTAGGCCTTTCTGGCTTTTTGTTGTCTTGTTTTCAGTTTTGGCATGAAGAAGGTCCTAGATCCAAAATGCTGATGCAGCAGAATGTTGTTGATGTGGGTGGGGGGACAGACTTAGCAGGCGTAGTGATTTCTCTTGTTGGGGCATGTCTGTTATTACAGTTGAGGCCGTTTATTCTTTCCCATCGGTCGAAGGTACTCAGCTCACATCCCAAGGGATGCCACGTGTGACTGGCTATGCTCCTGTTAATTGCCTGTAGGCTGGGGCTGTTCTGGAGCTCTGGAGGGTCAGCCAGCAGTCAATCTTTCATTCACTCAAGGCTCTTTCTCTGGTCTGGAAATGGCTATCCAGACCCAGGCAGAACTACTGAGTGGTAGCAGGCTTCTAACAGCCCGTAGAATGGATGTTGAGGGCCCACTGCAAGTTTCTTTTGGTTTTAAAACATTTTGCCCCATCCATCTATGCATGCGTGCCCTGTCGTGTCTGACTCTTTCTGACCCCATGGACTATAGCCCTCCAGGCTCCTCTGTCCATGGGATTTTTTCCAGGCAAGAGTATTGGAGTGGGTCACCCTTTCCTCTTTCAGGGGATCTTCCCAACCCAGAGATCGAACCTGAATCTCCTTCATTGGGGGAGGCAGGTTGTTTATCACTGCGCCATCTTAAAAAAGAAAAGGTGATTTAATTACAGGTTTTTATTCTACAAATATTTTCTTCACTAAAGAATAGCTTGAATGTGAGAGTTATTTTGCTTAACTGAATCACATGGCATTTTATAAAATGTAAACCATCTGAAACCAAAATCTAAGACGGAAGTCAGTGAGAGGGTAGCTGTAGGAAGGGCTATTATGTGGTTTGTAACTCTGGAACCTGTGCCTCCGCTCCAGACCAACTTCTCTGTGCTGCTCAGTCTTCTGTCTCTTGAGTAACTTTAGTTCCTGCACCTCCAAAACACGGAGAAATGAGTTTCTCCATTTTTTTCCCTGACTAGCAGCTGGAAGTCAAGTGAAACCCAGTTTCTATCCTGAACCTCTCAAGACTGATGCCCGAGGTTTTGGGCATCTGAGATTGGGCCAGGAGAAGCCATCCTAGAACTGTTCACCACCCAATATAGTTATATTGGAAATAGAGACGAGAGGTAGAGAAAAAATTGGCCTGTGAATACTTACAAAGTAAATCAGTGCTTTTAATTAAAAAACTTAATAGTGATATGAAAGTGGTAAGGAAACCACCTGGAAGCCAGCACCAGTCGTTGGAGCTGGCGCCAGAGGACGACGGGCCCAGCTGGCCTCCTGCCGCGGCCTTGGCCTGCAGCCGGACTTGCGGTTGAAGTGCCTGGTGGTGGCTGGCCACGGGGAAGGAGGCTGGTTCCCGAAGGTTCCACTCACGAGAAATGCTCTGAATCCTTAGGGCTTGAGGAAAAGGTGGCTTTGGGCAGCTGCTCTGTCCTAGTTATATCTGTGGATCTGTTTGGGGAATGATAAGGGGAGGTCTGGGTATCAGGAGGAGAGTGAGGGTGCCTTCACAGATCCCAAGCTCTGGCAGGCCGTTGGCAGGATAAGGGTGTCGAGGTGATAAGCAGCATTAAGAGGGTGTCTGCTGCACACTCTAGGCACCTTATCTCATTTAGTTCTTGATGACGCTGGAAGGAAGATGTTACCCTCCTGTTGTAGATGTAAAAGCTGAATCTCAGAGGGGCTACGTAACTTGCCCAAATCGCATAGCCAATAAGTCGTGGGGCCAGGATTTGAACCCAGGCCTATCTGCTCCCTGTTCCATTATCAGACAGCCCCTTCGGACCAGGAGCTGGGACTCCTGGCTTCAGGTCCTACTATCGTCACTCGCATGTGTGGTCTTGAACAAGTCACATAATCTCTTTGGGCTTTAGCTTCCCCTTCGGTAAAACCGGGATAAAACCAGTCTTGCCTGCCTCATGAGACTGTTGTGAGAATTGGGTGAAATAAACGTCTAGAAAGGGACTCATAAATTGCCATAAAAATGCAGCGACTGTGTCCATTTTTGGAAGAGAAATAGGGGCCTGCCTGGTGACCAGAATCTCAGAATGGGTTTGAACACAAGTTGTTTATGAAGACAACGGCTGTCACGTGGTGGATACCACCGTCTGCCGCAACAGCCTCAGGTCCTCCGCAGCGTCTGAATGGGCCCTGGGGGCTGGCTGTGCTGTGAGCAGAGAGGGTTCTGGGTTAGTCTGGCTGCTCTCCATGGAGGGGCAGGGATTCAGGGAGCCACAGAAATTTGCAGACCTGTGCCAAAGTCAGCACTGCCCAAGCCTGTGGGGCCAGAAGGCGAGTGGACCTGGAGGTCAAACAAACGGAGGGGAGAACAGGGCGGGGCAGCCGCCAGGTGCCGCCAGGTGCCACTGGAGATAGGACTCCCTGGACACTGGGGGCCAGTGAGGTGGAGATCTCCTCCTGGGGGCTGGATGCAATGGAGCCTGCTACACTGAGGGCAGAAGCCTTGTCCGCCCTCTTCACTCCACACTGCACAGCAAAGAGGGGAGCCCCCCCCAGCCCCAGAAGAGGGCAGGAAGACGTGAGTGAACTGGAGGAGAAGGATTCAGGTTGGCCATTGGAAGAAGCTTCCTCGTGACTGTGAGGCTCTGCAGGGAGTGATTGAGGGAGACCAGAGTGCTCAGAGGACGGGGCAGAAAAACTCCCATCTGGGCTTGAGGAAGGAGTCCACAGTCAGGATCGGAGGCAGGGAGGTGTGACTGGACTAGCGGCAGGCCCGTTAGCTTGAACAGGCTGCCATGTGCTTCCCGATCTTGGGTCCTCGGCAGACGACACCCCCCTTTTCTGCACCAGGACGTACTCCACAGCCCTGAAGAAAGCGCGGACATGGAGGATGTGTCCACGGCGGGGAAGGGCGGATAGCCCATGAAGCAGACACATGGATGCCTGTTAGACCTGGAAGCTAACAGCCAGAGCGGCGAGGCCACCGTGGTTTTGGGCCAGGCCACCAGCCACTGGTGTTTCTAGAGAAATGTTCCCAGTGTGGGAGTTTGAGGAAGTAGGGAAAGGCAGGCCGTGTGAATTTATTAGGACTTGAGGCCCTCCGCCGCCCGCTCAGGCGAGTTGAATTCTGAGTGCATGTCCTGCCCTCCTGCAGGCTATTTTAGTTCTAAAGGCACTTGGCTCCTGCAGTTATTTGTGCATCAGATTGAAGACGGAAGGGGGAGGGAACAGCAAGACCACACTCTTCATATCATACGCCATCTTCCTTTTTCTTCTTGTTATATAAGCAACTCGTGTCAAAAAAAAAAAATAAGTGAAACAAAACAAGAAAAATTAGCTGCAATCCTGCTTTCAAAGTTACCATTAGTATCTTCGTGTGCATTTGTTTCAGATGTTTCTTTATTTTCAGCCCTTCATTATGGCCACTGTAGTCACCAGCTGGCACCAAGCTTGAGATAAGGCTCCTCTTTTCCCAAGATTATGTTTGCATCTGGTTTAATCTCTCTCCCTTGCCTGGTGCTCCAGGGTGCCTGTTTCCTGCTGCAGCCTCTGTACACTGGGGTTGGGACGACGGGGCAGCCAGGCGGGGCTGTGTGTGTCTTGTCTGCATACGGGAGGGTGGGCACGCTTTGCAGCGTGTCTGGGCAACAGCAGGCATTCACTGCAGTTTCCTGTCCTTTCAGGCCTGGGCTGTGGAGACAGGGAAATACCAGGAAGGGGTGGATGACCCTGACCCAGCTAAATGGAAGGCCCAGCTCCGCTGTGCTCTCAACAAGAGCAGAGAATTCAACCTGATGTATGATGGAACCAAGGAGGTGCCCATGAACCCAGTGAAGATATATCAAGTGTGTGACATCCCCCAGCCCCAGGGCTCGATCATTAACCCAGGTGAGGCCCCAGCTCAGGAAGAAGGTGGACAGTGTGCTGGGTTCCTGGCCAGACCCTTCAAGAGATAGCTGACTTGAAAATTGCCTCTCTTAGAACGTTTATGACTGCTGAACAAGAAATCCTGTCCCTAAAAAGGCTCAGAGAACAAAAGATATAAATGCAGCAAGGTGTTCCTGCTCACTTAGTGGAACACTAAAGCATTAGAAAATGGAAGGAGCATAGAGTTCTGTAAAAATAGCTTCTCTCTGGGCTCAGCCCTGAGAAGAGAGGCCAGAGAGTTTAGAAGAAGGAGGGATTAAAACTTAGAAGGTCTGAGTTCTAAACCTAGTTCTTTTCACTGCGCTACCATGGGACTTTGAATCAAGTCCTTTGACCTTTTGAGCCTCAGTTTCTTCCATTATAAAACCTGGGCTCTCATCTTTCCTGCCTATTTCAAAGGCTATTCTAAGAATCAATTAACATGACATTCTAAAAGCTGATAAGTTCTCTTTATAAATGATGGGTGAATGTCATTGAATTTGTATGGTACAATCCAATTAAGAGCCAGATAATTTGGACTTGACCCCCAGTGAATCTAGGGATGTCCCACCATGAGGGAAGGGTTCTGTCCTCACATTAAGTTTACAAAGGAGAGAAGTTGTGGTCCTTGGGTCCTTAAGAGGGATGTTAATGCATCAAAGTAGGTTTAGAGTAGAAGTTAAAAGTTTTCTAGGAGAAGGGAATAGGGTGAGAGCATACATTAGGGTTCTAGAGAAGGAGCTGGAAGGGGGTGGTGAACACCTTCAGTCCTCACACTTTGGCTAGGGCATTGGGGGTGCACGCTGAACCCCAGGAGCCTCTGTGCTGGCAGTGGCTAGCTTGAACAGTGGGTCAGCTACCAGGATGACGGTGAAAAGTGAGCGGCTTGTTTGTGGGCTTGTGCATCTGTTTTTCGGGTAGGATCCACTGGGTCTGCTCCTTGGGATGAGAAAGACAATGATGTGGATGAAGAAGATGAGGAGGATGAGCTGGACCAGTCACAGCACCACGTCCCCATTCAGGACACCTTCCCCTTCCTGAACATCAATGGTGAGTCGGGTGACGGGCGGGTGTGGAGGGATGAAGAGGAGGTAAGGGGCTTTCATTTTGCAACTGTTGACACTATATCCACCGCTGCCTTGGGAGCAATGACTAGACCCTGTGGCCAGGCTGCCAGGATGTTAGCAAGTAGGGGTCGTAGGCAAAGGAATTCCTAGGCCCAGTTATCCCAGTGGGGTGGCTTCTAGGCATAGAGAGCATCTTCTGAGTCTTATGTGATAATACAGAGAAATTAAAAAATGAAATTCATTCTCAATCGCACATACAAATACACCAGCTGTTACAAATTTAGCTGATTTTCGTCAGGTCAAAGTGCAGAGATCATTTTTATGAATTGTAGACCAATTCTTCTGGTGTTTGTCTTGGTATGAATTTTCTGTCACTCTCTTACAGGGTCTACTCTAGTAAGACTGTATCATGGGACCCTTGTGGCTTCTACAGCTCTTAATACTAGGCTCTGATAAAATTTATCTACTAGAGACTTTTATCTTTTTTTTTTTTTAAACCTTTTGAATTCAGCTTCTCAGGAAAAGTGAGTTGAGAGGTTTGAGGGTCACTGCGTGACAGAGCAGTGCATTTTCTGCTCCACAGGATTCTCAAACACAGGGCAAATATCTCTTCTGCAGCATCTGCACTTGAACTTTCCACTGACATGCTCCTAGACACGTGATTTGCATTCAGTTGAGCAGCTTTTCACTGCCTTTCTAAGTTCCATCTGGCTGTGCGTGCGTGCTAAGTTGCTTCAGTCGTGTCTGACTCTCTGCGACCCCATGGACTGTAGCCCACCAGGCTCCTCCGTCCATGGGATTCTCCAGGCAAGAGTACTGGAGTGGGTTGCTATGCCTCCTCCAGGGAATCTTCCCGACCCAGGGATCGAACCTGAGGCTCTTATGTCTGCTGCATTAGCAGGCAAGTTTTTTTTTTTTTTACCACTAGTGCTATCTGGCTGCTATGGGTAAAATGAGATAATATTGCCACCTAGAAAATTCAGTATAGCAAGATGATTCCTTTAGGATTTTGGAATATCCTATTCTAGATGACGCCCCTTCCTCGGAGAGTCAAGAAATAACTCTTATCTGTCTACTTGTCTTCCTTCACTTACCCTGTCATTTATAACTTTGCAACCAAGTGATGAGTAAAGATGGTCATCATAGAGCTTGCTCAGCCTAATATTGCCACAGCTACATTCCCATTTAGTGAAATCTTAAGATTTGGACATTTGGAAATGTGAGATCCTTTCCCAAATCCTTGGCTGACTCATTCTGTTCTTCTCACCCCTTAAAAGGATACAACTCATTTCCAGGATATATATACTTTATTATTATTATTTCTTATATATTTATATATATATACTATATTATTATTATTTTACTACTTAAAAAAGATTATTTTTCTGATTTCCTATTTCTTTTCATGTCTTATTAAAGATTCTGTTGTGTGGCCTTGTGTTATGGGCCACCTTGGATCCTATATGGAAACATGTGAACATATATTAAAAACAAAAGTAAAATGGGTACATAGATTCAACCAGGCTTGTACACAAAGGATCAAAGAAACATTAACCTCTGTGATTTCAGAGCTGTTGGGCAGAGAAAGAAGAATTGTTGAAGAATAGATGCATAAAAGGTGAGGTTAGGAGGAAAAATCTGAAAACTTTGGAGTGAGCCAACTTTGACAATAGCAGGGAAATAGGATGGGTTTTTCATTCTCTCAAGTGCTTTTCACTTCGCTACTATTGGACTTAGGATCAAGTCCTTTGACCTTTTGAGCCTCAGTTTCTTTAATTGGATACTTTGGAATAAATAATACTCTTACATGGTTTAAATTCATAACGGTACAAAAAAGAAATCAGCTGAAAGATTTTCCTTCCATCCTTTCTCTAAACAGTTCCTTTCCTGAAGAAGACAGATCTTACCAGTTTCTTGAGTATCATTTTAGAAGTTGCATGCATATAAAGTATTTGTTTTTAAACGAATTTCTATGTATTAACACTCAAAGTTAATCAACCAGTTTAGCTGAGTTCATTTTACAGAAGACAACCAGCTTCTATTTAATTGCTGGGCCCAAATTTTGCAACAGGGAACCTCATGTTCATACCCATTCTAATTTAACCCCAGAGAAAACTCACTTGTCTGTTAGTCATCAGCAAAAGCACGTCGTCAGAATCATGAGTCAATGCAAGAACTAACAAGATTAGGAAGCAGAAGCAGGAGAACCTTGTTTCTTTTGGTGTTTGTTGGGGGAATGATTGGGCTGCTACGCCGAGTCTTGGTCCAGCGTTGGACCTTGTAGGTTTTGGAGCCTCAGCCCCAGGTGGTGTGCATGGGTGGTACCCCGCCAGCCCACCCACATCCTTCTTTTCTTCTAGGTTCTCCCATAGCACCAGCCAGCGTGGGCAACTGCAGCCCTGAAGCAGTGTGGCCCAAAACGGAACCTCTGGAGATGGAAGTGCCCCAGGCACCTGTACAGCCTTTCTACGGCTCTCCAGAGCTGTGGATCAGCTCACTCCCAAGTAAGCAAGCCTTGGTTTCCTAACTGGATCTTCAGCTCCTATTATAGTCCATTTCCTGCCCCACCTTCTGCCTCCATTTCTTGGCCATGTATAGAATAGTCCCCCAGGCAGCCTCTGTGTCTGGTTCCTGGCTGGCTGATGAGTCAACTGGGGAAGAAGTAAAGAAACATTAGCCCACACCTGCTTGCCCAAGGATATCCTCTGATTGGCCGCTGTGCAGCTCTGAGTTACTCACCTCTTAGGTGGGTGGAAGGCCTGGATTTATCAGGGTATTTGGGGTATTTGGGGACCAGGTTGGTAGTGGGATAGGGAGGTTATTATTGACTGTGGATTTGGTCAAGGAGGCTCTTGGGTTTTGAGGGGCTTTAGAATCCAGAGAATATCTCTTTCTGAATTGTGCACAAATCCATCTCATTGAAGAATCAAGGTCCTGCCTCTCCCTTTCACAATACACACGGTAGGGGTGGTGGGATGGGGGAGGGGGGAGAACTCCCATTTTGTCCGAGAGGCTGATAGCTTTGATAAGACCTAGAGCGTTCAATAGACATTTGCTGAGTGAAAATTTACTTTGCTGTGAACAAAGTAAACAAAATTGACTGTGTCCTTTTGTGATATATTATTAGAACAGATCCACAATGTGTGCGCCTCTGTGTGCTTTTCAGAAAGGTGGCTTGGTATTTTTTATCGTCTCTCTGGTTTCTTTAAACTGTGAGTCAAAAACGATAACACAAACCAGATGCTGCCTTAGTTTTTTCAGCAGCTCCTTCCAACGCCAATTGATGTAAAGACTCAGTACAAAATGGGGAGACTAGGACCCAGAACTTTGGTTGGAGGAATTCTAGCTGTTAGGGAGTGGTGATTGAACTGAGATAGTATAGATGGACTTTGAACTGTTTGCTTCAAGGCAGCCTTTCAAGGGAATACTCCCAGGATATGTTGATGTCTCCCTGTGTTGCAGGAAGGATAACTATGCCCGTGGCCTTCCTGGATGCTGGCTGAAAGGTGGCTTGATCCTCATGGACTTGCACGAGTTTTAGGGATGGACAGGCAGAGCAGTGGGGCAAGACTCTCACTGTCCCTTCTTACCTTGCAGTGACTGACCTGGACATCAAGTTTCAGTACCGTGGGAAGGAGTATGGGCAGACCATGACTGTGAGCAACCCCCAAGGCTGCCGGCTCTTCTATGGGGACCTGGGTCCCATGCCTGACCAGGAGGAGCTCTTTGGTCCTATCAGCCTGGAACAGGTCAAGTTCCCCGGGCCGGAGCACATCACCAATGAGAAGCAGAAGCTGTTCACCAGCAAGCTGCTAGATGTCATGGATAGAGGACTGATTCTGGAGGTCAGCGGGCACGCCATCTATGCCATCAGGCTGTGCCAGTGCAAGGTGTACTGGTCTGGGCCATGTGCCCCATCACTTGTTGCCCCCAATCTGATTGAGAGACAAAAGAAAGTCAAACTGTTTTGTCTGGAAACCTTCCTGAGTGGTGAGTCTTTTTTTCAGAGGATTGATGGGTGGGAACAGCTCCCTGCAAGTATGTCTTCCTCCTTCCTGCCCTGCCTTTCCTGGCTCTGCAAAGATCCTAAGGAAATAGTTTATTTGGCAAGAAGTCAAGGTAGAAGAAAACCTTGATTCTGAAAACTAAAAGTGACCGGGGCAGAAGGATATTCCACTCCAAAGCTATATATTTGAAGCCAGTTTTAGGTTTGCTGTGGTTCCTTTGTTGGCAAGAGGGAGACAGCTTTTCATTGCTCCCCAGAGTCCACCAACTTATTTATCCTTCACTTTAGAAGGTGACCCTACTCATCATAATTGGTTAAAAATATAGTCTTCTCATCTGGGACATATTTGAGTTTCAAATTCAAGCAGGTATGTTTAAGGAGAGGAATGAGATGTAAATTTTCCGATGTGATTTGAACCCCAAGTCTAGTTTAAGTGGTGTCCGATAAAACCCTCTGAAATGATGAAAATCTTCTATATTTGTGTTGTTTGGTATGGTAGTCACTAGCCACATGTGGCTGTTGAGTATGTAGATGTGAGTAATGTGACTAAGGAACCATCTACTTTTAATGAATTTAAATGCAGTAGCCACATGTGGCAAGTGGCTACTATACTAGACAACATAACATAAAAGCTGGTATTTACTGAGTGGATATGGAATGACCCAGCACACCGAACTGCTCTTCCATGTTCTACAGATCTCATTGCCCACCAGAAAGGACAGATAGAGAAGCAGCCACCATTTGAAATCTACTTATGCTTTGGGGAAGAATGGCCAGACGGGAAACCCCAGGAAAGGAAACTCATCTTGGTTCAGGTGAGGAGATAAATGTCAACAACTCAACAACAAGTTGATAAACAAATTTTTATCAATGCTTTAGCCCGTAGGTCTGGGGTTGAGCCTTCAGTTGAGGTATCCATCAGCCTATGTGGATTTTAATCCCATTAGATGGAGGAGCAACAAAGTTTTGTATATTGTACAGTAGAACCAGGCTGGAGAATAGAAGGTCCTCAAGGCAAATTACTTATTCACGGGAGACTCTGCTTTCTCAATGACTAATTTAGAGTCTTCAGAAGCCTAATAGGATATGACTCTTTGCAGCTCTTTTAGAAGTCTTTTGAGCTACTTTTCAGGACATATTCTGGAAAGTGGCAGCAAGACCACTTGGGTTTGGCTGTGGATTTGTGAAACAGGATAGGCAATAGATGAAATTTGGGTAAAAGTCTTTGTCAATAAACAGTTATTTATTTAGGTATGTGATGAGATGCTACTTCTCGGTTCTTTACCTTCATCTGAACCAAATTCTAAAGTGAACCTTGGCAGGATAGTCCAGAGAGATGAAAGCATATTCTGTGTCTAGACATTAAAGTTGGGGACTTCCCTATAACCTCACTAGTCCTTCCTTCAATCTCGGGTCCCTCCTGCTGTTTTTTTTTCTTTCTCTGAACCTTGTTCTTAGAGGATACCTGTGTGCTCTGTGTCCTGAACAGGTCATTCCAGTGGTGGCTCGGATGATCTACGAGATGTTTTCTGGTGACTTCACACGATCCTTTGACAGTGGCAGCGTCCGCCTGCAGATCTCAACTCCAGACATCAAGGATAACATCGTTGCTCAGCTGAAGCAGCTGTACCGCATCCTGCAAACCCAGGAAAGCTGGCAGCCCATGCAGCCTACCCCCAGCATGCAACTGCCCCCTGCCCTGCCAGCTCAGTAATCATGAATGCCATCTTCCTTCTCTTTTTTATAATATTGTACATATGGATATTTTTTATTTTTCAGATTTAACCAGCTTTCAAAAGCCTTTCTTCTAACAATATTAGTAGTCTCTGACTCTTCAAGTATGTCTAGCTTTTAAAGTTGATTTAATTTATGAAAAAAATCACCCTTCATACTTTCCTCTTCTTTAAACCTCCCAAGGTAGTATAATGTAGTATCAATAGAAGGAGATTTAGCCTGGGAGTTTGGACAACAGGGTTCTAACTGCAGCTTTGCTTCCAGTGGGGTGGCGTTGAACCAAGTCATTTAACCTCTGGGCTTTATATTCGTTACTGTAAAGTGAAGGAGTTAGAATGATGCCTGAAATAATGCCAGCTTTAAGACTCTGACTTGATGACTTCATTCTATTTGTACAAGGCAAAACCGCCTGGAACAGAACCCTTCTGCCTTGTTCTTGCGCCATGTTTTTTTTCTTTTTCTTTTTTGCTTTCATTAAAGTCCCCTGAAGCACTGATTTGTCCAGGATTGATCTCCGTTTGACCTGTTATGCTAGTATAGTGGGCTGGTTCCCTGATGGGGGAGAGGGAGGGAGGGGTGCCAGCTGGTTGCTTAGGAACCAAGCTTGATATCTAAACAGAAATAGGTGCCAAAGTCTGAAAGTCACCCAGCCTGTGGAGTAAAAGCTCACAAATTGAGCTTCTAAAAGGAAGCTGTTGACATAGAAAAAGGTTAGGGATTCTGTGGTCAGGTGTTCAACTTGCTACCACTCAAATACAGGCATACCTCGGCGGTATTGCCAGGCTGGTCCCAAACCCCCACGATAAGGTGAATATTGCCATAAAGCAAGTCATGCAGATTTTTTTTTGTTTTCCAAGGCATATAAAAGTTATGTTTACATTATGCCATAGTCTAAGTGTGCAATAGCAGTATATCTAAAAATACAAATGTGCATACCTTAATTAAAAATACTTGATTGCTAAAAAATGGTAACCATCTGAGTCTTCAGTGAGTCATAATCTTTTTGCAATCGTTACATCAAAGATCACTTATCACAGATCACCATAACAAAAAAAATAAGTTTAAGTATTGTGAGAATTACCAAAATATAACACATAGACATGAAGTGAGCAAATACTGTTGGAAAAATGGTTCCACTAGTCTTGTTTGATGCAGAGTTGCCAAAAACCTTTGATTTGTAAAACACAGTATCTGCAAAGTACAATAAAGCAAAACACAATAATAAAATGAGGTATGTCTGTACCACTGTGTGTGTGTGTGTGAGAGATAGATAGATGGGAGTCTGTGACTCAGTGAGAGCCTTCAGAGAGGATAAAACTCCCTTGTTCTTCTTTTCCTTCTTTGAGGAAGATGTGAGACTGAGCTGGGCATGCAGGACAAATGCCTCTGACTACAGAAGAGACAAGGACAGTTCCTCTGTGCATGGACACGTTTTCCTTTCATTTGGATTTTTTGCAGTTGGGAAAAACAGGGTGTTGAATATGTTAAGGGCAGTGTGAAGAAGGGCTGGGCAGTGCTTTTCTGGAAAAGACTCATGTAGTACAAACCTGCACATTTCGCTTCTCGGTGGAGGTAGGTGCGTTTGAACAATTAAGGTGAAGGAGGTAGGTACGTTTGAACAATTAAGGTGAACAGTGGTGCAGAACATTGCAGCCATGGCTGCCACAAAGTGGCATTAGCTTTTGTCCTTGACCCTTTTACTCTTTTTATGGTGAAATTCTACATAATTTAAACTCCACGCCCCAAATGGAAAACAAGATGCTAGTCTCTGGTTGCAGGCCCCAATCCTCCTGAATGGTGATACCTATTTTGGGCCATATCGTATTAAGAAAGTCCATGTCTGCTCTGCTACCCTTAAAGCCACCTCCTACTCGCTACTGAAGTTGAGCTTGCTAAAAAGTTGGGCTAACTTTATTTAAAAACCATAAGCTCCCCTCAATTATAAGTAGCAATGGTAATTTATTCAGAATGCTTAAGCTGTGGTTTTAGGGTCTCTAAGGGACCTAGTAGATCTGCTGTTACCAAAGTATGACAAGAGAAATCTGAGTGCTCAATTGTGAGCAGAAGTTGGGCTTCTGGAGACTAGGAAATATGCAAGGTCTAGAAACTTTATACTTTGGGAGCATCTGAGTGGGCGAAGTGAGGGATTTGGAATTGACATCTGGCTGCCTCTGTGTCTGCATAGTTCAAAGTTAGAAAAAAAAAATCCACAATAAATACATTGGGAGGACAACTGTTGGATCTGGGCCAGGCCCGTCCCCTTTTCCTATGTGACACTAACAGGCTGCCCATCTGGATGAGGGCCCAGAAAATGTGAGCTGGCAAAGGGCGTAGAGCATAGTGTTTAGGTGCCAAGAAAGACTGAACTTTTAGTATGTGACTGTAATGAAAAGCTTATGAATATGTCAGAGGAATGAATGAGTGGTTTTATGAGGCCTTAACCCAATAGCATAGTTTCTTCCTTGTTTTTTATCCTTTTCAGAATGCTGGGAGAGTGCATGCAGGGCTCTCCACTGATCTCCCTCAGTGTTCTTTCTCTGGTCCTGATGCCAGGTATCCTTTCTTGGAGACTTGAGTCTGCTATCTCATTTGGTTGTTACACCATACCCTCCCTTGGTGTTTTCTACTTCTGTGCCTTCAGGCGGTGTCACCAGCTTTTGTTTTCTTCATTGTCCACCCTTCTCCCCATTGGGTTGGCCACAGTCTGGATCTGCACGTCCTGTTCAAAACCAGACTTTAGAACTGCCTGAATGTGGTCTGGGGCAGGAACCACATTATATTGATAAGTGAGACAAAAAAGAACATTTCTTCCCTCCCAATCTTGAGGTGAAATGGTGCATGAAGATTTCTCATGGCGTCTCACTGGGAAAAGAAAACAAAACCCAAAAACTAGTGGGTATAAATGAGAGGGCAAATGTTGGATCTGGGCTGGTCCCATGTCATATAATTAGGTCCCTGGCTATATGTCCCCAGAGCACCCTACACTTATCTTTCGGAATAATCTATTCCCTTGTAATTGCTCAGTATCTGTGTCCTGCATGACTGCAAACTTGCTGGAGGTAAGGACTGTGTGTCTTGGACTGTACTGCCAGCCCTAGCACAGTACCTGCTACATAGTACATTCTCAAATATTTGTTAGAATAAATGAATGAACTAAATAAGTCTTTCCTTTTACAGATTGTTAACTACTATGGGAAAATAAACGCAGGGAGGGAAAAAATTCTAAATTAGTTTCTACTCTGCTTCTGACTCCCTCTGAGCTAAGAACATTAAAATGGGAGCCCTACAAGCCGGTCGTCCTTCCAAGCTGGCCACACCTCCACTCCACATTGGTCTCTCTTCACAGTCTGAAGACCCAAGGTACAGCCAGGAGTGAAACTTCCAGGGTAGGTGCCCGCAGTTCCCTTTAGCCTCTGCTCTGCTCATGTATCAACAAGTTTGGGCCATTTCTTTAGATATGAATTTTCCCAAGAAATTCTTCCCCTTCGTGGTATGCGTCATATCGCTGGTAAAACTTCCAGTGAAATAACTTTTTATTCTTAATGAGCTGATTGAAAAGCTTCTCCATCTTACTCTCATTTTTCATGCGAAGTCAGCAAACTGAATTCCTACAGCCTGGGCTCCACGAAGGTGGGTTTTTTGGTCCGTTTCGTATGCTGCCAATACCTCCAGCGCCTAGAAGCATACATCGCACACAGCTGTTGGGAGTGAAAACACTCATGCCCTTCACGCCCTATTTAGCGATGACGAACCTTGGCCAGGACACTTGTCCACCCACTTCTCGGAATTCAGCCTTTCAGATTCAGGGCTTAGGCAGGTCAAAGTGAAAACCAGCCGTGCAGCACCACCTACAAGTGAAGATCTGTGAAGCACGTCGCTAATCTTGAGATGTTTCGTCTGGAGAGGAAAGTGAACTTCTCCAGAAACAAATCAAACGGTGTTTCGGCGCCGCGTGCTCTGCTTCTGCCCTCCGGGTCAGGTGGGACTCAGGAGTTAATAACACACAAGGTGGGGAAGCGGCGGAGCGCTGGGACACGGAACGGACAACCAGCTTCACTCGCCAGCTTTCCTCCACTCCTCCCCTTTCCGTTCCTACGCTGACGGGTGGGGCCAACGCCTCTCTGGCCGGAAAGGGCTGGGCCTCAGGCTCCCATACTTCCGGTCGGCTGGTTTTAACGCGAGGCGCGGGAGCCGACTGGGTGACGTCACTGAAGGGGGCGGAACTGGGGTTGTGTTGGGCATGCGCAGTAGGCCGACCTCGCCGACTCGGGCCCCCTAGGCAGTGAAGTACTTGCCCATGCTGAGAGAAATTTCTACTGTTATTGCTGCTGAGGGTGCGGGCCTCACGGTCTTCCTGCCAAGGGGCAGGAAACTGGAAGGAGTTCCTGAGCCCGCGAGCCTGCAGCGGAAGTAGAAGAACGTAGGTATCAGTATGTGTGAGAGACAAATCTGTCTCATTTAACAATTCAGGATGCTACGTTCACGAAAAGGCGTGGGGGTCGAGGTGAGCCCATCGTCCCGGAGTCCGAAGATATCCTTTAGTAGGGGATGGCGGGACCGTCAGAAGTTAAATTACAACCTTCTTGCAATTCTAGCTGGTTTCATTTGTTTACTTTTATGTCTCGGTGAGATGTTTGGTGGCTTCCCAGTTGGCTGCCAATGCCGGAGACGCGGGTTCGATCCCTGGGGGGAGAAGACTCCCTGGAGGAAGGCAGGGCAACCCACTCCAGTATTCTTGTCTGGAGAATCCCATGCACGGAGGAACCTGGGGGGCTATAGTCCATGGCGTCAAAAGAGTAGACGGGATGGAGCAGGCACGCAGCGAGATGGTTGGTAGGCCACATTCTAGTGTGTATTAGTTTAATTAGATTGTTCTTCTTACAGCTTTTCTTGGCTGGAAGAGAAGGAGGAGTTGGAAATGAAAAAGAGTGCCTTTGAAAGCCAGAACTTTGCTCAGAAGGCAGGATTTTTCTCAGATCTGCTCTCTCTCTTCTCTGCCCTAAGCTCCCTTAAGTTTGAGCAGAGAAAGTAAGTTACAACAAGTCAAACTTAGGCTGGACGCTAGGGAGAATATAAATCTAACCATAGGCCAGAAAGACACAGGAATTTGGGACTGATGGAGACTTAAGTCAACGAGTAAATCAAGTGGCATTGGTGACCCTGTCTTGTCTGGGCGGGGTTAGCATTCCAAAGCAGAGGGGAAAATGAGCTCTGGAAGATGCTGGAAGACTTTAGGAGAAGCTGTGGGCAGGTTTCCTGCCGTGTCACTGGCTGGTGTTAATAATCCCCTGCTTTGTTTTCAGGCCCTGCTTCAAGTGTCTGGAGGTCAGAGAAGCAGCCCAGGGGAGGGAGCTGTGACTAGTTAAAGAGACCCTGCTTACTGTTGCTACCAGATCTCATGCCAACACCAAGTCCTCAGCGCCTGGTGGCAGCTGCTCAGCAGACCCTGGGCATGGGAAGGAGACGGGGCCCTCCCAGAGCCGTCTGCCTTCATCTCGCTGGAGAGGTGCTGGCTGTGGCCAGGGGACTGAAGCCAGCTCTGCTGTTTGAGTGCAGCTCTGCAGGGGCAGCCGAGCTCCAGAGCTACCTGGAGGAGCTGCGGGGCCTGGGCTTCCCGACCCAGGGACTGCACGTCCTCGAGATTGCAGAGAACAGCCTGATTGTCCATCCTGAGCATGTGTGTCGGCACTTGGAGCAGGTGCTGCTTGGGAGCATAGTGTTTGTGGATGTTTCTGGCTCTCAACCTCACCCTTCCATCTGCTCCCTGGACCAGCTGCAGGATTTGAAGGCCTCTGTGGCGGAGATTATCACACATTTGCAGGGGCTGCGAAGGGACCGATCCCTGTCAATCTCCTGCAGCAGGCTGTGTTCCTCGGCCTGGAATCTCTGTACTGTGTTTGGAATCCTCCTGGGCTATCCTGTCCCCTATACTTTTGATGTGAACCAAGGAGAGGACAACTGTTTAGCCCAGACTCCACTACGAGTGTTCACTGCCCGGATCTCATGGCTATGCTGTCAGCCACCAGTCTTGCTGTATTCCTTTAGTGTGCCAGAGAGCCTGTTCCTGTCCTTGAGGGACATTCTAAATACTTGGGAGAAGGACCTTAGAGCTCGATGTAGGACTCAAAATGACCTTGCTGACCTCAGCATCTCCTCTGAGATAGTCACACTGCCGGCCGTGGCCCTCTGACTTTAACTTTTCCTGTGTGGAAGGTGCTTGGTAAATGATCAGCTCTAGGTCAGGATTGGCAAATAGGAATCATTTCAAGTGCCAATTGCGAGTATCTCGAGGACACTAGGGAAGAATACTGTAATCCATTTGTCATTTCTGTGCTGAACTGGACTAGGGAGAATAGACCAGGATGCCTCAGGAATAAACAGAGTTCTTCGGGACAGACCATCAGGTGAAATTTATTTGTTTATTTTTACAGCAGGTTAAAAAAATAGTCAAAAATCTTAGTTGCGTTGGGAAAACCCAGACCTTGAAGTACCCAAACCTGAGTTATTTTTTTTTTTTTAAACTGAGTTTCTTGTTTCTGATTTTCACCCAGGGCAGCAGTCACCAGTTAGAGCATCAGGTTGTCCTTATTGGCCAGCATCACTGCCACTGCAATAGCAGTCAGCGCCATCAGCATCAGGAGCCACCGGCCACATTGCCTCTGTGAGGAGGGAAGGGGAGAAAAGAGAAAGAGGCCGTGGGTTGGTCAGAGAAGATACAGGCAAAAATAATCTTCCTCCTTCCCCTTCTAGCCCAGTTGAAAACCTTGGGTTGGTGGAGGAGAGAAAGCTTTTTATATCACTATCTCTGTCACTTTGCCACCTGTCTTGGGATAAAATCACTTTACCAAAGGTCACTGGCCCAGCAAACCACAGCCAGCAGGGGCCAAGTACTTAAAAACTGATAGGAATCAAAAGTGGAAAATATTTGAGCAAAATCATACTATTCTCTGTTAATACTCCTTTTGCTTTCTTCACTCTGTCCTTGCCACTATGCTCAAAATAGACTGAAAGTACACCATTTCATACTCTAGCCAGTAGTAAGTTTTTCCCTTCAGGCTCAAGAGTCCCATGAAAATTAGGTTTGGAGGCGTGAGCCAGTGTTTCTTTTCATGGTTACTATGCTGTCAGTACAGTATAAACCAAGCTGAATGGAGCAGGCTGGTCAGATGTTGGCACAGGCTGGGCAGTTTTATGGGCAAGTTTTGGTGGAGGGAGGAAGTATCCCGCCATCATCTCGGGCTCTGTGGGAGGTTAGACTCTTACTCTGGGGGGCGGCTGTTGGCTCTGGCTGAGCTCTTCTCGACAGTGCTGCAGCTTACGCAGGCAGGAGAGGTACTCGTCACTGAGGTTGTCTAGTTCCGAATGCAGCTCTCTGCACTGTGGGGGAGAACATCACCGAGGTCATCACCACAGTTCTGGCGGGGGCAGGGCCCAGGGAGGGCAGAGGGCCCTGTGTAAGCTACCCTGTCATTCATCGGTCATTTGTACCGCCATCCTCCCTTCCCAGCCTTTCTCAGAGCTTTCAGTTTGCCTCTCGGCAGTCTCGCCTAGCTTATCCATGTGTTCATTTACATGCATGTTTTACATGAAGTGTAATGCATACTGTATATGTCATATATAATGCGTATTGTAATATTATGTATTATACATGTAAGTGCTTTTGTGTGACAGTTGTTACATGCAAGTGCTTTGTAAATGGGGACATACAAAAGGGAAATTCCTACAGCACAGATGACCTGGAAGTGATCTTAGTGCAAGCCTCTTTGTGGGGAGCTAGTTGCATGTGAATACTTCCAGACATATGTATTTTGTGAGTATGTAGGTAGGAAGAGTTTTGTTATTTAAAAGACCCTGTATAAAGTTTTAAGATACTCATTGTACAACAGAGTTTGAGGAGTTAATGTATTTATTAAATGAGTTTGAGTTTAGGTTGACTTTCTGAAAGGTAACTCCTTAATAAAACCTTGAATAAAGATTGGTATAAAGAAGGAAAAGATTGACAAGTTAAGTTGAAAGTGAAGACGTTTTTATACAGGCAAATGAATACCTACAGGCATCTGATCACAACTTCAGCTCTGAAATGCCTGCTGTCTGACTCCCAGCAGTTTCCCTGTCACTGGAGGATGAGTCCCTCCTGTCTGAGGTCACCATCTCACCTCCTTTTCCTTGGCCAGGAGTTGCAGAGTTTTCTTCTGGAGCTCATCTCTGAAATCCAAGTCTTGCTCCTTCCCTGGACCCTCAGGCTCCACTTGGTTATGGGAGGGCTTTGGGCTCCTCACAGGCAAAGCCTGATCTAAAAAAGCAGCCAGATTCTCAGTGACAGTGAGGCCCATGCCTCTGAGGAAGGGTCCTGACACTGAGAGCACCCTGTGGGGAGAGGGAACGGGACTGGGGGAGCAGGGAAGAGCCTGTCCCTGGCCACACTGCCTGGCTGGCAGTCCTCTGATTTTTAAAGAACTCTCACTGGGAGCATGCTCAGCCTGGACAGAGAGTGGAATTGGAACCCCTTGAGGGCAAGGTTGGTATCTTTTCTCTGTATTGTTAGTCCTGCTTAATGCCAGATACTTTTAGAAAGTGTTTGTTTAGTTTCTTTGGTTGCATGTCACATCTTTTAGTCTGGTGGGTTTGCTGGATGCTTTAGTATAACTCCATTTCCCTGTCCATTTTCCATTTTCCATTTCTGTCCTTGTTTCAAAATGGTGAGAATGGCAATCATAACCTAGAATTCATCTTCATGTAGTTAAAGCTGGTTGATCGGCCCCTTGGCAGTCTGATCTTGGTGAAGAGAGCCCTGGGCTGAGAGTCAGAAATTCTGGATTGTTGTCCTAGCTGTAGCCTTAATTTGTACGACCAACTACCTTCATTTACCTTCATTTTCTTACCCATCCTACGTGGGCATCATCATTCCCGCTTTATGTTTTACCCAGTGATTGTGGTGGGAAAACAAATGGCCACATGCAGGGAGTACGGGAGGCGCTGTCGCCCCCCAGATGTGTGGTGAGTCCTCAGGAAGCTGAGGCAGCGGACTTGAGGGCTGAGAGTGAGGTGACTGTTGGATGTGACATAGTTTCTACCTGGGGAGCTGGGTGTGGTTTGGAAAGTCAAGGGTAAAAATTGACATAAAATCCTGAGTTCAAAATCAATTTATTGAAATGTTCAATACAGATGTATGTTTTCAGAGGGAGTAGAAATCTTTTCCATAGTTTATATACCTCTCAGGATAGGAGGTTAGCTAGCTAAAGTGTTCTCAGAGCCAGTGATGAGTCCTTAAAGTGCTCCTTTAGCTCCCTGACCTAAGAGTCCCTCACACGGGGTCATGTAGTCCATCCCTCTGCCTCTAGGAGGGCAAGGAAAGAGCAATATCTTAGAATTTGTGGAAATAAATTTGCTGACCTTTCTTTGTTAAGAGTTTCTCCTGTTCTTGAAGCTGTAAGGATTGGTTCTGAAGCAGACCTGTTGGAAAACATAAGGAACTTGTCTGTGCTAGCGTAAAGAGTATCTTTCCTGCAGAATGTCTTTTCAGGACTTTGCTGAGAACCTTAATTACTATGTTCCCATCTGTAGTTGGTTGAATTGTGTCACCCCCCCACCCCAAATTCATATGTTGAAACCTTGACTTCCAGTACTTCAGAATGTGACCCTGTTTGGAGATAGGTTCTTTGCAGAGGTAATAAGTTAAAATAGGACATTAGAGTCCTATTTTAACATGACTAGTGTCCTTACAGGAAGGGGAAATTTGGACACAGATGTGGACAGATGGAAGACACGTGAAGAGATGGAGAAGACAGCCATCTCCATCTTGTCGGACGGAGAAGAAGGCCATTTCCCTCTCCAAGCCAAGGAAAGCAGTCTAGAATGGATCCTTACCCCAGAGCCCTCAGAAGGAACCAACCCTGCCTGCCACCTTAATCTGAGAATCCCAGCCTCTAGAGCTATGAGAAAACCGATGTCTGTTCTTTAAGTCACTCAGCTTGTGGTGCTTTGTTACGAAAACACCATCCTTCTATCTCTTTCTACCGTGTACCTTTAAGTCTCTACGTAAATGTTACCCTAGAAGAAGGACATTCCCAGTTGACCCTGTGTGAAATAGCAACTGTTTTCTCTTTACCCTGCTGTATTTTTTCCTCTATCGCAGTTGTTAATACTTGACGCGTATTTGTTCATAGAAACTCCATAGTTCAGTCTGTTTAGAATGTCAGCTTCACTAGGAAGGAAACCACACCAGTTCTGACTACTGTATCCTCAATGTGTATCTTGGTGCCTGGCACTTGGTAGGGGCTCAGTAAATAAGTACCGAATAAATAAAGGCATGGTTTTGAAGTGACGTGCCCATTCGGCCCCGACTGTGTAGGAGCCGGGCTTCTGCTGGTGTTCTTTCTCCCTTACCCCTGTGGCTGCCTGGTTCTTTTTATACTCATTGCTTTCTGCGTGAAACTTCTCTGTCAGGGCGTCAGAGGTGAAGGTGGGCGGCAGCCAGCAGACCTGTTCATTGTATCAGGTTCTCTAGCATTTCAAAAATTGCCAGCTTTCCTTTGGAAACACCCCTTTTCCTCTTTGGCCTCGACATGTAATTGTGAAGCGGACTGAGGCACATGTATTATGAGCTTATTTTCTGAACCATTCCTAGTGACGGGTCTGTGTGACAAACGTACATGATACATTAGAATGTATAAAATAAACAACGACCTTAGAAGACACTTCTTGAAGTCTGCAGTTCAGGGGGGAATGCAGGTGGTGGCCGTGGGCGTGGAGGAGAAAAGCAGAAACAAACGACGCCAGAGGCTAATGTGGAACTTGAGAAGAGCTGTCAGTGACCTCACTGCCCAAGAAGAGGGTCTGAACAAGCAGGGGTAGAGGACATGCCAAGGACTGGGCTTCCCACCGCTCCGCTGGACGCCTTTTGTGGGACAGGAGCCCCGAGGACGCCAAAAAGCCGCCTGTGCTACTTTGAGGATCTGGGAAGGGACTTACTCTCCAGCTGCTGTACTTTGGTCACCAGGGCGAGCTTCTCCTCCTCTGACCTCTTTAGTTGATCTGACAATGAAATAAAACAAACCAAAATAGAAGAACCTAAGACTTAAAGAGCTCACCCCTGAGGCTGGAAATTAGTAACAGATGCTGTCTAGCCCACGGCCTCTGACCAGCGTCAAGTGGAAGTTGCTCTTTTTCTGCTTGTCCCAGTTCTGAAGAGGTAAACCAGAACCCTACTACCTTGGATTTCATCTGGATCAACAGTGGGCTGAGTTAAGGGTTGTGTGTGTATATAGGGTTTTCCAAGTGGCTCAGTGGTAGAGAATCCACCTGCCAGTGCAGGAGATACAAGAGATAGATGCCAACTCGATCTGTGGGTCAGGAACATTCCTAGTATTGTTTGAAACAGTACCGGAGTAGGAAGTGGCAACCTGCTCCAGTATTCTTTTTGTTCCCCGCCTCCCCTGCTCCAGTGTTCTTGCCTGGAGAACCCCATGGACAGAGGAGCCTGGTGGGCTGCAGTCCGTGGGGTTGCAGAAGAGTGAGCCCGGCACAGCAGCGTGTGTATAATTTGGTCCCCTCCCAGCTGACGGGGGCCATGACTGGGACACCTCTATGCTTGGTGTTTCTGCTGCCCTTTCCCTTTAAATTAGGAATGCGATCTTGGCACGTGACTGCTATGGGAGTAACTGTGCTCTGGCTTAGAGGGATAGGCTGGATCCTTTCTGTCTTGGTCTTGGATGATAAAAACAGCCCTGCATTTTTCTCAGAGTAAAATGAAATCGCCAAGTCAACCAAACAAACAAATGAAAGACTGACCCCTTTCCACCCAGCCCCCTTTCTCTGGGCTCCCAGAGGCCTCCAAGGGGACGGGTACCTTGCAGGTGCTGGGTGTCCGAGCTGCAGAGGTCTCTGTCCTCCTGCAGGCATTCAATCCTGGCCTGCAGCTCTTGGTGCTCGCTCTCCAGAAGGCGTAGGGCCTGGTTCATCTGTGAGTCCCTGCTGTCTGCTCCCTGGTGGGAGGGGGAGGGGCAGACACAGGCCGGTCAGCGCTAGCTAGGGCAGATCCCAAGGAAGAAGAAAACTAGGAAATTGTAGAGTAACGGAGATAGAGGGAGCCTGAGGGAAGTGGACAATGGGAAAAGTGTTAAAATCCTTCAGTTTGCTCTATTCCTCATGCTTAACAACCAATAAGGGATTAGATTTTTGATATTCACAAGGGATTCCTTTGGGTAAATGCCCACATTCAGGAATACCAAATCACTGCTTTTCTAGACGACTTCACTCTGTCTTTACTTCTCATCCTCACGCTATCGATTTTTTCAAGGTGGAGGGGGTAGGCTCATTTTTCACAAAGAATTAAGGTTGGAAAGGAGAGGGAGTTCATGAGAGTTTCCTTGTAGGTGATTTGAGGAAGAGAACAGTGAATGCAGTGGCCAGTGAGTTTCTCTCCTATGATAAGACGATTCATTTGTTGTCTCTTATCAAATAGGTTGCCTAGATCCTTGCTTCAGTAAAGGTGGGTCCTCAGAATTCCAAACCAACTAAGTAAAATTGATGAAAAACAACAGCTAATGTTTATTGAGGGCTTATATGTGCAAGGGATTGTGCTAAGTGCTTTGCATGGATTACCTCACTTAATCCTCATAACAGTCTTATGATAGAGTACTATTATTATCTTTATTTTACAGATGAGGAAACCGAGGCTTAGGTGGTTAGTTAACTTCTCCGAGGTAGCATAGGTTGGAAATGGTGAAACCCTTGAGGATGCCAAGAATCCACTATTATGGTTTGAAAAACACATTGGCAAGATGTGTGAGTTGACACTCAACCTTTAAGTAAGCTGGTGACTTTTGTTCTGTGCCAACAGTGGGCATTTCTGAACTGGTTGCCCTCCTGGGGTGGGGTACAGAGAGTGGGTTGGGGTGTGGCAGTAGGCTGACGAATATTCCAGTCCAGCCCTTTGCATTTGGATGCTGTCATTCCAGTGAACACTTAGGCAATTTGCATGAGCAGTGTAGACAGCCTCGCTAAACCCAGATTTGGGGCTCCCAGCTGAGCGGGATCTTCTCTCATCATGGCTATCGATACCTGCCTCCCCTAAATCCCGCCTTCCCTCCCCACCTCCCTACTCCCAGGGCCTGGTACCTGCAGTTTGGACTGAAGCACATGGAGCTGGCTCTCCAACTCTCTGTGCTGCGTGCCCAGGGTCCTCCAGTCCTCCTTCAGAGCCTCATACTGGCTCTTCCACTCTTCACACTTCTGCTCGGCTAGAGCCAGGGACCGCTGGGGGAGACCAGAGGAGAGGGAGGTGCGTCGGGGTCCCGGGGACTCATGCCTCTGGCTCCCTTGCAGTCCGACCGCCCCAGCGCTCCCAGCCCCGAGGGTCACGAGCGTCCCCACACCTGTGTGCTCTGCAGTTGCCGCTCTGCGCTCATTTTCTCCTCCAGCACCTTCTGCAGTGATTCCTTGGCCTTCTGCTCATAGCTGTTTTTCTGGTCCTCCATCTCTAATAGCACCTTTTTCATTCCCCAAGGGGAGTATTTCTGTAAATTGGATGCAATTCAACAAAGACACATGGAGCTAATGTGTTCCAAGCCCTAAGCAGGGATACAGAAGTGAAAAGAAATTGGTCCTTGCTCACAAGGCAGAGATGTCAGTAATCTGGCAGACTGCCTTCCAGGCTGGAAGACAGTCCCTCAGGTGACATGAGAAGTGAGTGGGGATGATAAACTGCCCCGGGAACGCTGAGCATTCTCCCTGGGGCCTTCCACAGGCACTTGGCATCCAGCGTTTCCCAGAGGAAATCATCTTTTTGAACCTGCTCCTATGTCGATGAGCAGCAGCATCATCTACCCAGTCTCCCAAACCTGAAAGCAGGGAGTCATCCTTGATTTCTGTCTCATCTCCAAGGAATCAGTTGGTTATCAGGCTTTGTCAAGTCAGCCTCTGTAAGAGCTCATGCCTGTATCCTCTATCGACTGCCACCTCCTTAGTTCAGACTCTAGTGATACTATTGTATGGGTTATATAGTCTCCCCATCTTCAAGTCTTGCCTCCCTTCAAACTCTTTTTAGTCCTCCAGCTAGAGGTTTCTTTCTACAACTTCTATCTGATCATGTCACAGCCTGCTTCAATCTCTCATTGGTTTCCAGTGTTCTAAGGTTCAAGTTCAAACTCCTTGGCATGGCTCTTACTTACAAGCCTAGACTTTCATTCCATGCTGCTCCAACCAAGCTGAGCTGCTTGTAGGTCCCCTAAGCACTGCGCTTCTCCGTCTGTGCTTTTGCCCATAAAGCTTCTGCTTAGAGTATCCTGACCCACCCTTTCCACCTGGTTAACTTCTGCGTATGCTCAAGATTCAGCCCAAGAATCATAAAAACTCTGACAAACTTGACTAACCATGTCTATCTCCCAGCTCTTTATGGATTAGGTAGTTTTATTGGTGTTCACGTAGTATCGACATTTCTAATCTGTTGACTTATTTGCCTCCTTTAAGGGATTGTAAACTCCTTTGAGGCAGAGAGCATTAAAAAAAAATAAAATTGTTTTTATAGCCTCAGCGATTTGAACAATCTTCTACTGAAGTTTGTTCTCAAAACTTGAAGTTCTCAAGTTTTAAAAATTAATACCCTAGCATTTAAAAAATTTCTCCTGGCTTCAAGATAAAAAAAGCAGAGCAGAGCAGCTTTGCAAATTCACTTGCCTTCCCATGCTTTTCATTTTTATGCCCTGTGATTTTGGGAAAGCTAGAAGCTTTTACTGTTGACTCCGGGTTACCCAACTGGGTAAGAGATAGTTTAGATAATGTAAATTTAGAGTTCATCATGAAATCATTTCCATTTAGCATTGGAATCATCTGAAAATTTGGTTTTAAATATTGAGTGGGTCTTTTCTTGGAATTGTCATTAGAAGCTAGAAACAGGAGTTATTGATTGAGATCCTATGTCCAGATTATTGGACATAACCGTGCTGATCACTGGCCAGCTTTATTCCCCGCTGAAAATGAGCAGACTAGCATCCTGGATTGTATGTCAGTCTCTTACGAGCTTGTTTGGAATTTTTACTTAAGAGTCTGACAAAGTAGGTCATGCTGAAAAAAATGAAAGCTGTGAATCAGCAAACTTACAGACTAGATAAACCGTGTTCCCCTGAAAAATTCTAACTACATGGCCACCTTATTTTCCAAACATCAAGTCGGAGCAGTCTAGCTAGTCCACCTCATTCTTATCTTCCTACATGTCAGAAATCTATCATTTCTCGAGTGTGAAAACTGATTTTTTTTCTGTCTCATATAGTTCAAGAGCAGGGCAATCAAGAGATTGCTGGAGCTGGATAACAATGCCACAGAAAGCTAGGAGTCACAGTCTTTTACTTTCTCCCAGGGATTGGTGCTAGATGGAAGTTGCCCGTGGGATGAAAATCATTTTGTGAGACTTCACTGTCATATCTAATTCATCTCTTCTAAAGTTAGGGCCTGTGAAGTGCTACCCAGATAAGCTAATCTTTACCAAGGGCCTCTCACTGCTTTTCCAGGTATTCGCAAGGTTTTCCTGGAGCTGGCAAAGTGCTGGTACTGGGCTTCCTTTCCCAGGTGCAAAGCGAAGGACACTGGGAGAAAGGGAGAGGAGGATAGAGAGAGTGAATTGGAGACCAAAGTGAAAATGGTAAAGGCCAGAATTGGGTGAATAGGATGCATGCATTAATCTCTAGCAGGTGACGTTTCCGGAGTAGGCCTGAAGTTCAAGCATTGTCTCCCTTAATTTCAGGCTCCTGGGCTAGAGGTGGCCTCCGGAATGCTTACCTGGGTACAGGCGTACAGCTGGTTTTCTAAGGATCTCAGTTTGCCCTTCAATTTGTCTTCATTAAGCTGGCCCTGGAACAAATGGGATGAGTTAGTGAGTTTGGGCCAAAGTATAGCACGCAGAGACTTCTGCTGTGTATTCCCAGCCTACTGCCTATAATAAACAGTGGAGTTGAGCTCCTTTAGAAGGTGGGGTGGGAGGCGGGGGCGAAAGATGGCGAGGGATGTTTGGAAAGAAGAGCATCTTTTCCTCTTTCTCTGGAATAGGTGAAGGAAGGATCAGACTGTTCCCCAAAGTCACCTGCGTACCTCAAAGTTTCCTATCACACGGCTCAGGGTGTCATTGCAGGGGCCCATTTGAAGCATAGACTCTAAGCTCCCCTTATCTTCCCTCATCACCTCTCTCCCTCGTCTGTCTAGGCACCTCTGCCCCTCACCTCCTCGCAGTCCAGTACGTGGACCTTTACTTCTAAAGGCCGGGAAGACTAAAGGGGTCTCTTCTCCCCGGGGGAACATGCATTCCCTCCCTTACCCCCGACGTGGTCTGAGTTGTGTGCTCCTATCCCGTGCCCCCCAGCATTCAGATGTCGACGTCCTAAGCCCCAGTACCTCGGAAGGTGACTGTGTGTGGAGGCAAGGTCCTTAAAGAGGTGATTCGGTTAAAACGAGGTCATGAGGGTGGGCCCACGCCCAGCATGACTGGTGTCCTCATGGAAAGAGGAGACTCGAACATCGATGCGCGGAGGGCGGGCCATGCGAGGACACGGCCTCCATCTGCAGGCCGGGGAGAGGGGCCTCGGAAGAACCCGGCCCTGCCGACAGCTTACTCTTAACACTCGCAGCCTCCAGAACTCTGGGAAAACACATTCCTGCTGGGGAAGCCACCCAGTCTGTGATACCTTGTTATAGCAACCCTAGTGAATGAGTACTGTCCCCTCCTGGCCACGCGCGCTCACACACACGCGCGCGCACGCACACACACACACTCACACACACGCACGTGCACACACACAGTGACACACACACGCTCACACACGCGCGCGCGCGCACACACACACTCACACACACACACACAGCGAATGAGTACTGTCCCCTCCTGGCCACACACGCTCACACACACACACGCACGCACACACACACACTCACACACACACACTCACACACACTCACACACACGCACGTGCACACACACACTGACACACACACACACACAGCGAATGAGTACTGTCCCCTCCTGGCCACACACACACACTCTCTCTCTCTCACACACACACACACGCATGTGCACACACACACTCACACATGCTCACACACACACACACACTCACACACACACACATAAAACTGAAGATGAGAAATTCTTTTAAGAAAGCAGGAAAGGGAGCAAGGGTGTAAAGGCAGGTTTTGTATGTGTGTGTGGTTGCGATGGTAAGAGGAATTCCCAGAAAGCCACATTTTGTTTATTCACGAGCTGCGTCGGTCTGGTGGCGTTTTGGACACACCAAGAGGGACGCTAATCTCAAGGGCGAGCGTGGAGAAAGGCAGGTGGGAAGACCTGTTCCTGCCTCTGTTTTTCAGTATTTCTGCTCGGCAGTTACAGCTTCCTTGTTGCTTTGTTCTTTCCCCCACCTGTAGATGGCTCCCTTGTCCCCACGGAGCGGTTCTGTTTTTCCAGCCCTGAGTGTGATTTAAGGTATGTGCGTGCGTGTGTGTGTGTGATTTAAGGGTGTGTGTGTGTGTGTGATTTAAGGGTGTGTGTGTGCGTGTGTGTGTGTGATTTAAGGGGGGGTGTGTGTGTGTGATTTAAGGGTGTGTGTGTGCGTGTGTGTGTGTGTGTGTGCATGCCGTGGATGCCAATTTCCCAGAGAAAAGGCCGTGGGTCTCGTTAGTGGTAACTGGTTTTCATAGCCTTTCCCTGGGCTGTTCCAGCCAGGCCCTGTGGGACACTTGTGAGGTCTAGAAATTACATTTCTCCTCAGGCCTGAGTCGCCAAGGCCCCTCAGTTGTGTGGCTTGGCCGTTTCCAACTCTTGTACCATTTTTGGTCTGTAACGGCCAGAGGAGACTGTTTTGTGGTCTGTCCTCCTCAATGAGTTTCGGGGCACCCGGGGGAGGCAGGAAGTGGTATCTCACAGCTCCTGTTTTGATCTTTTGGCTGATTCCTCTAACCCAGGGAGCCAAGGGGCGCCCCCCCCCCCCTTTTTGCTTCCTGTATTCCTCAGCTGGGTCTTGCAAAAGCAAAAAGACTTTGCCAAAAATAATTTTTCAAGCTGCCTTCTGCTGTTAATATTTTTCGTAATGTCTCGTGTGAGAGCTGAGAGTCAGGGATTTGGCATCTACAATAAACCACAGGGCTTTGGGAGCAATAAAGAGATGGACAAAGACTTCCACTGTTCCTGGCTTTGGAGGGACTGGGAAGAGTTACTCCCCTTAGTGGCCTGTTCATTGTTAATCCGAGGGTCCTGAAATCGACTCCCTCTGCCCAGCACCCCAGCTCCTCCTCCGCACTTCAGGTCGTCAGACTGTTTTCCTCTACACAGTGGACATGAGTTTGTGCAAACTCCGAGAGACAGTGAAGGACAGGGAAGCCTGGCGTGCTGCAGTCCATGGGATCGCAGAGTCAGACACGGCTGAGGGACCGAGCAACAACAAACTCTTACTATGCAGAATGCAATCCAACCCACTGAGCTTGAAGGTTTATCTTGCAGTAGTTTGGGAAGAAAACAAGTCTGTGGCGGTATTCTTACATTTCCCCCAGGCTCCTACTCTTTCTGGGTAGCTCCTTTCTCCTTCCTTAGCATGGTTTTAATCCAATCTTTTTGCCTCTTCCAGCTGTTTTTTTATGTTAACCGCACCCCAGATTACTTTTCCATTCATGTTGCAATAGAAGACAATTCAGGCTAGCCCCTTCGGTGGGGATGAAGGGCCACCCACATCTGAGGTTTGAACACATCTCTGACCCGCAGCTCCGCCTTCCTAGACTCCCCAAGTCAGGCAGGAAAGTTGCAGCCAAGTTGTTGCAAATGGGCCGTGCAGTTTCCTGGTCCACGCCCTAAGTCTCCCTGTACCAAGCCCAGTGGTAACAGTACGGGGAAAGAGCACTTTTTACAGGCCACTGTGGGCCTTGCATCCCAGGAACCCGAGTTTCAGAGAGCAGAATAGCCCCTGTTGTAAAAGGGAACGAGGCGGGGGCCATACACACCTGGTGTCGGTCTGAGCGCTTCAGGTCCTGCTGCTTCTGCTTGGCTTCCCCTGCCTCTGACCTCTCTCCAGAAATACCACCACCTCACCGCAGAAGCACCAGCCCACTTCTCGTCTCTGTGTTCTAGCAGAGGTTGCTTAGGGCCAATCCCCTGCTGCACTGGCATCTCAAGATCTCAGTTTCACTTTGCAGAACTTAAAACCCAAGCGTGTCCTGCTTCGGGTCTGTATTGCCCAGTACTGAGGGCTCACTTTCTCTACCACCTGAATCGTTTCAGCTTTGAAGCTTGGGCCCAGCTCAGGAGTCTCTGCCGTGCCCCAGGGCCTGTCCCATCCAAAAGGCTCAGCATCAGCTTGGAGGCTGGAGGCACTAGAGGGAGCTGGTCCCTGGTGTTCTAACAGAGTTTGCGGGGAGCTGCCTGTGAAGCTGGGCATTTAAATTAGGGAGGCCAAATGGAAACGAAGGCCCGAACATAGCTCAAAGTCGGAGTCCCTGTTCTGGCCACACTCTTCCCATTACTTTTCCCCAATACTGCAGTCTGAGACTGTCCTTCTGCTGAAGAAGTGGGGTGAATTGTTTGGGGGGCAGCAAGAGCAGTTAACTGAAAAATCTAGATGATTTTTCTTAAAAACAGGAAGCTGAGGGTTGGTGGGGAGGAGGAAGACAAGAAGAGTATTAGTTGGGGAGGAAGGAGGGAGTAAACCACGGCCCGGAGGAACCCCTGCACCCTCCCCTGCTGCTGGAGTGTGGAGTGGAGCAGAAACTGCTCTCCTGTCTGCCAAGCTCTGGTTGTGTCCTACCTAGGATATTAGGAGAGCTTTCCCCACCCCTGCACCCACTGGGAGCCCGAGCGCTCACTGTTGTCAGAGAACCTTTTAAAATGCAGAGCTGATCGATCCATCGCTTTCAACTCAGTTCCGCGGCTGTGTTACTTATTTACTTATTGGCCATGTGGGGTCTTGCTTCCCTGACCAGGGATCGAACCCTCGCCCCCCTGTCTTAGCAGCACAAAGTCTCAACCACCGGACCTGCAGGGGAAATCCCCAGTACATATGCTGCTAAGTGAGCACAACTCCACAGCCACTGGACAAGCTGCTTCTCAGGATGAGCTGGACATTGCTAAGTGTAGGACTTCAGACCTGAGGCAAGCACGTCCCATTGCTACCCTGCTTACTGCCTGCAGCAGTGTTTCTCAGACTGGGGTGTCGTGCGTTCTCATGATACACACACACACACTTGTGCTTTAAAAGGGAATCCATGACTATTTAAGTTTGACATAGCCTACTCAGCAGAAAATATTTAAGAGCCATAATATTAGAGACCTCTCTGAGGTCTTGTCTTTGAAGCTCCTCTGACACAATCCCTTCATTTCCGTCACACTCGGCCCTGCCCCACCCTCTGTTACTCCCAGGCCTGTAGTCATTTAGATTGCTTTATGGTAAGCACCCGTGTCCTTTCTACTTTCTCTCCCCCTTCATCATTCCTGCTTCTGTCTTGGTTGGGCTTCCCTGGTGGCGCAGCTGGTAAAGGATTGGCCTGCAATGCAGGAGACCCGGGTTCGATTCTCTGGGTTGGGAAGATCCCCTGGAGAGGGGAACGGCTCCCCACTCCAGTATTCTAGCCTGGAGAATTCCATGGACTGTGTAGTCCATGGGGTTGGAAAGAGTTGGACACGGCTGAGCGACTTTCACTCTGTCCGGGTAAACTCCTCCTCAGCCCTTCTAGACACAGCTAAAGTGGTCCCTTGCCTCTGGAGCCTACCCTGTTCTGCCACAGGCGGAAGAATCCCTCCCTTCTCTTCTGCCTGGGTCCCTTTGTAGAAAGTGCTGTTACAGCCTGAGCACGCTGCAGTTAGGTTTATTGATGACTTGTCTGTCTCTTCCTGGCTGCTGTGGGAAGTCTACTGCCTTCTCTGCCTGCCGCACCCGCCCCAGCACATAGTCGGGACTTATCAGACGTCTGTGGAATAAACGAATCAGACAGTCTCGTTTAGGTCAGCCCCGGAAAGCACCTGGCATGCACAGCTGTCTGTCTCAGGGAACTATGCTATGAAAACCACTTCCTCAAGCAGCGGGAGCCCTCAATGTAGACACCCAAATCCAGGTATGATGATCAACGGGAACAGGGCGGGCTGAGCCTTGGAAATCTCTTTGACATCACTGCAGGCTTCTCACATTTGTCCCACGCCTTCCTGTCCCAGGTGGGATGACTTTCTAAGCACAGCCATATACGTGGACGGTCAGATGTTCACAGAGGCCTGTGAGGCTGTGTGTTCTGTCTGTGCACCTGTGGCTTTCTGCTCTGGTGGCATCAAACTGCTTGAACACTGCAGTCTAGGAGTTTCAGTGTGGGGCCCAAGGACCCCCGGGAATCCAGGATCTGCAAGGTCTTCCCTTTTCCAACTGTATTTCTGTGTAAGGTTAGATTTTCCTCATATAGTTCAGCAAAACAATGTATTAACAACAGATCGAATGCAGATGCAAACATGAGGATCTAGCTGTCTTCGGTTCAGACATTAAAAAGATTTGTATAAGTATAAAGCAGTGTCACTTCTCTCACCACTTAAAAGTATTTTTCAAACAATATATAATTTAAGTTCCCATGTAATCTGTCCACTGTTATTTTAAACTTACTGCATATTTTAAAATTCCTGTTTTTACTTCTAAATGGTAAATATAAAATTTCTTTGGATTTTAATATTATTTTTTAATAATAGCACTACATGTGGGGTCTTAGCTTCCCAACCAGGTTTTGAAACTGTATCTTTTTCATTGGAAGAGCGGAGTCCAGTGGACCACCAGGGAAGCCCCTGGATGTCAGTGATTTTTTAAAGGATTTAAAGGGGTCGCGATGATAAAAAGCTGGAGACTATATCATGCCTCTGGTTCTTTGCCTGTGCTGTATCCCCTGCCCGGAATATAGTTCTTGTTGCCACATTTGCCTGGAAAATACTATATGGATAGTCAATGCCTTGAAATATAATTATAAATAATTACCTGGTTCTCCCCTGTATTCTACTATATCCTGAAAACACTTCTTTTATTTCTCATATCTCTTCACTGTTTAGGCATCTGTCTCTCTGAGAAAACCACAAGCTTTCTAAAAGCAGGAACCCTGTCTGATTAATCTCATTATTTCCAGTGCTCAGTGCAGGGAACATGATCTGTGAATATTTGTTGGACGAATGAACTAAAATCAGGAGGTCTGAATTTAGTTCCAGTTCTGCCTCTGACTAGCACTGTGACTTTAGCAAGTCACCTGACTTCCCTGACAGTTTCCTGAGGGGCAAAATGAGAAAATTAGACTAGATAATCTCTAGGTCTCTTCCTGCTTTCACATTCATGTCTGGGGCAAAAAGTAGGTCCATGGTGGCTGAAAGTTAATATTGATATGAATCCCATACAAAAATAGTTGATATTTACCACAGTCAGTAACAGGAAGTGTATTGAGACCTTCTTATTTTTCTTCCAACAAATTAAAAAAAGGAAGTTCTTGCCCCTTTTGATTCTGGGTCTTCCCTGGGTGAGTGGCAACGTGGTCCTCAGCTGATGCGCTGGGTTCAGCCACGCTCTCCCATGTATCTACTGTGACATGTTGGATGTCTAACCCTACCTTGCGCCTCCTCCGTAGAGAGAAAGCGCCTTCCCTTGCTGCACCGGTACGGAAAGAAGAACAAGACGGGTGCATGTAGAAGCCACTGAGCTCTGTTCAAACAAAGGTTTCCCTTACCTTCCAAGTGCTGTCAGAGGCCTGTATCAAGGTAGACAGTAGGTCTTGGAGAATCACCATTTTCTGTTTTAGAACCAGCTCCCTTTGTAGGGCCTCCTGAGGTGCAAAATGCAAGCAGGTTAAAATTAACCTGGAGGAGAGCAGACAGATGGAGGAGCTAAGGGGAGAGTTCATACTACTTACTTTGAGGTACTCAGAAAGCTGGATGATTTCCTAGAGAGAAAGAAAAAGGGTGTTTAAGAAGATTGTGGCTTCCCCGAAGTCCTAGAACATGGAACCCGAGCCAGGATTGGCTTGTGCTAAGTGAATTTTCTTCCTGGACTCAGGGTCCCTCCAGGCTTCCTTGTCTATGCTCATCCAGGGAGAGGACGCCCCATCCATCCCAGCTGAGTTTACCAATGAATTCCAGAGCTTGGAGGAGATTAGATACCATGTGATTCTACACCTCCACCATGAGGATTTTCTTACCTTATCTAGAACTGCAACTCCATAACTGGAAGAGAAGAAAAACAAAAATGGCAGTGGATCAAAGAAACAGGCATGTCAGGGGGCAGGGTATTGATTCCTTCTCTCATCTCTTCTGGAGAGCCAATACGGTGGGAAAGGCCCTCCTTTTTCTTAATTTAGATGGATGTGGAAGTTCCTTGGGTTCCACCCCACATTCTGGGGGAGGGTATTCAAGTGAAAGCTTAGAAGAGAGGAATGGATGGGCTGTGGGGGAGCTGGGGCCAGGAACATGAAAGGTACTCACTTGGTTTGCTGACTGGCATCATTCTTGATTGTTGACTGTGTTTCTCCTGCCTTTGTCTGAGTGCCTGAGAGGGAGGGGATAAGGTGATTCAGGAGGCATGGGAGAGGCAGTGAGGGAAGTGGGGAGGGGTAGGGACTCTCCACTGCCAGCGAGCTGAGACAGTCATGGCAGGATTCTCTGCAGGCCCCAGTGAGGAAGGGAATCTCTTACCACGGTGGTGTTTGGATGCCTTCTTGATGGGAGAGGCCTGTGGTGGAAGGTCTCCAGCCTGGGTGGTGAGGTGATCAGCTGGATCCCTCCAGGCGCCTGAAGGAGGATGGTTTTGGGTTGCAAAGACCTTGGAACTGGTCCCTGACTCCTGGAAAGCAAGTGGGGAGGGGGGTGTTGCTGCGAGCCTAGATAGAGCGTCTTTGAACAGGGTTCTCCGGCTGACTGCAGAAAGTTGAGCCAGTGATGAAGTTTCGGGTCCAGAACACCAAAGGAACCAATTCTAGACTTCACAGCCCCAAGCTTCCCCCTGCTCCTGCCCTCCCTGGTCCTGGCTGGTGGGATCAGGTCCTCCTCAGGCCAGGCAGATGGGGAGCGGGGCTGGTGTCCGGTTAAAAGTGTAAAGTCTTAGTCACTCGGTCGTGTCTGACTCTTTGCGACTCCATGGACTCCTCAGTCCATGGGATTCTCCAGGCAAGAATACTGGAGTGGGTAGCCATGTCCTTCTCTAGGGGTTCTTCTTGACCCAGGGATTGAACCAGGGTCTCCCGCATTGCAGGTAGATTCTTTACCATCTGAGCTACCAGGTCCCCTGTGACTCTCTCTCAAGTCCATGATCCCAGCCCCTTACACAGCCAACATGGCGCAGTGGAAAGAGAACTGGTCTGAGGAGGGAGTGAGGGGGACCAGGGACCAGCCTTTCCTTGGTCTCCGTCTCCTGTCTGTGTAGTGATGAGTTTGGAGCAGATGGTCGCCAGGGTGCCTTCCATATTCTAAGGGGGCTGCCTTCCTCTCAGGGAAGAGGACTGCCTTCCTCTCAGTGCCAGCTGGAAGATGGCTGACGGTCGCGTGAAGAGAAGGTAAAGTAGGCAGCAACAGGGAGGAATGTGTAGCAGTCGTCACAATCAGCCTGCTTTGTAAATATTTTCATCCTACAAACTAAAAACTAAAAAAATTCTATGTTTGTAATTAACACGAAAAGGCTAAGAAATGCCTATGGCAGCTAGTCATGCAGATTAAATCTCAATAAGCCTTACATAACT